TTATATAGGTGATATATTACTTGTTGATCATAAAAAGTGGACAAAAAAGTGTCATTCTATATTTCACAACGAAAATAACGATTTTTATTTTTTTAAAGTTTTTGGCAATATCTTTATTTCATGTGTATTTGTAACATTCTAATTTACATTACTATAATCATATACAAGAGTTATATGCATAACGAAAATTTCAACTAATTCGCATCTGTAATTCCCATGTTATAGATGAAATCATTTTCTCAATTTCTTACAACAGACTCTGTGATGTCATACTTTACCCATGATCCTTTGCTTGAGAATCAATATGGCTGACAACATAATACTGATGAAATGTTGAATATCTAGAGAATGAAAAGTGATATAAAAAAACTGTAAATTGCATTCTCCTACATTTGTGGAGCCTTTTCTTGGGGGGGGTCATTGTGTTGTTTGGCTTGACTTCCCTTTAATGCATTTATATGCAAACATATTGACGTGATTGCTTGAATCAGTATCTGAGTTTTGGGCTGTTGTCATCATCGTAAAAAAGAAAGAAAATGACGCACATTTCTCCCCCACAGAGGTGTGGCCGACATGCGCGCAACACCAAGCTGCGACAGGAGACACAATGGTCGGTCAGTATGTAATTGACCCTGATGGTTTTGGTGGCGTCGACCCGTTCGAAGTGGAGTGCCAGTTCCCGTACACACACGTACCCGTCACCGTACCCACGAACCAAGTAAATGCGGACAACCCCGATCAAGAAGGGCCCGGTGCCGAGTGCTTCGATATAGAGTATGACCATTGTTCAATCGAGCAATTACAGGTACGTCTACTAGTGGTAGCAGTGGAGCATTATGCATTGCAGCGCCCTCTAGCGACTTGATGCTTCGATGACGTCGTACTGGTATAGTGTTATTCATTTAGACAACAAAATTTGCCCTTTCGTAAAGCTACGTATCATTTCGTATCTTATCAACTCTCATTTGAATGTTCGAATTATCCTTATATAAGATGAACTACCTCACCAGCATTGACACATTCAAAATTTCGTCATTCAAAATGACGTCATTTTACAATATTTTGCTTTGTTCACACTGCACGCACGGCAGAAGCGAGGCTATAGCGCACAGCGGAAATAGAATCCCGTCGCTAGTTTTAACCTGGTCGCTGCAGGTTTGTGTCGCCATTTCGGGCTATGATCTCAACGATTGCGCAGATCAACGAGTACAAACTGAGATGGTACATACGAAGCTTCAATTAGGTGTTTTTTGGTGGTTAGAAGGTATCGAATGAGTCACCGGCGGTAATCAGTGTAAGTCGCGCCAAGGAAAAATCTCATACTTGTGATTTCCATTAGTAAAGCACATTGGATTGTGGGAAAATCACTGTTTATCAACAAAAATGTCGCACATGCACAGCGCGACGACAACCGCGCTTTAATTTATTACTACAAGCAGCACAAAAGATGTGTAATAATAAGGTTAGGCCAGACTTTTTTTATTCCTTGTCAGTTTTGCGAGTTTTTATAAGGTAATTTTTTTTAGGAGGGCGGAAAAAAATAAAATTAATTCTTTGTTTTCATTAGATTTGTGTGATTCTCAAATAATTGTAAGTGAGATCATTGATCGGAGAGAAGAAATGAAATAAAATGTTATTCCATGTATAACCTTGTTTCTCATCTGCGTGAGACTTCGGTTCTTTGATCATCATACTCCCACGAAAATGCAACTTGGATTTGTTATGCGGCGGGCGGTAAAAAAAATAAAGATAAAAATAATATTTTTTTAGCATTTTTGCGCTTACAAGTCGGCGGGCGCGAGAAATTACGCTGAAATAAAATTATATTTTTTTTTCATTTTCGGCTTCTGTTCATTCGGCGGCTTCGCGAAACAAGGGATAATAACAGTCTGGCCTTATGACGAGAATATCGTGAATTGTGGCCTCCGCTGACCGATACGGTCGTCGTACCGCCTTAGTACATACTTTGCGGCATTCTCGTGATAACCTCATATGAATATTTCAAAACAGTTATGAACAAATTCGTTTGGTGAAAGGGTTTTCGAGCACAACAGTCATTTCAGTTATTTATTCGATATTCATGATCACCATATATTCATGATCACCAAGAGTGGTCCACATTAAAAAAAAAATTACATAATTTTTTAAAGGCTGTAAATAATAACAAGAGAAAGAAATTTTGCAAATTACAGTGGACTATTTTTTTCGCAGGCTCTAGCGGAAGCTTCTGAATTCTGCATGCAGTATGCGAAGATGGAATGTCGATATGCACCGTTTGTCAACAACGGCGGAGATCCGTACGCTTATTGGGTTGACGGTGATGGCACTCAACATTCAGGTAAATGCAAATGGACATTTCTTTGGGGTCGTGGCTGACGTACATTTGACAACATGAATTTTCTGACATGCCCCCCCACCCTGTGATTGTAAATTTTGAATTACCAAGTGACAACTAACTAGTTTGAGTTTTTTTTAAATTATGAACCTCGGTGTTTGTATTTTAATAACCTGCCTTTCAAAATAACAACGAGAGTGAATATACAAAGTTGGTGTTTTCATTTCTTTATTAGTTTTGCCATGAAACTTATCTTTTATCATGAACTTGTCTTACTTTTAACTTATGTCCACTGTAGCCGAGGTCTCGTTGAGAGCGAGACTCACGTGACTTGTTTTTACCTCTTCTTCGAACAGTGTTCCATTCATCACGTATTGGTATTTTGAACAGTGTTCGTGTTGGTGGTAGACAATTAAACACTATTTCACTGGTGAGAAGTCACGTGGTGAGAAGTCACGTGGTGAGAAGTTACGTGGCTCTCTCGCTCCCAACGAGATTCCGGCGGCCATTTTTTATAAAGATATATTAGCTGTTTCAATCCTGTTTATATATATATATATGGTTCGGTTGTGACCAGTAAATATGTTTAGGCATAACATGTATCCGGTTGTGGCAGCATTGTTTGTTGTCAGATTCATATTTCGTTACTTGTTCCTAGGATGGGCCGGATCGGCTGATGGCCCGTCTTGTGCGTGTGGTGAGACAGGAACGTGCGAAGGAGGGGAGACGATGGCGTGCCAGTGTGACATGAACGACGACATTCTACGCGCAGACCACGGCCTGTTCGTGAATAAAGACGTGTTGCCCGTTGCTCAGGTCTGTATGGGCGTGAGCGAGGATAACGTAGACGGCGAAGACCCTGAACGAAAACTACAGAGATATACATTCGATGATCTCGTGTGTGGTGATGAACAATTCGGTAAGTTGAATCAGAATTGTTTAAATTTAATTAAGTACCAAAGTTTTGAACTTATAACTATTAAAACACTTAGTTAGCCGTGCGATAAAAACGTCGATATTATTTTTAGTAGATGTTCAATAAAAGAATGTGTTTTTACTAACGTCTATCGAAACCGCTGCTGAAATGTATTTCTCCTTATTTAGAATGTTGTTTTTTTTTAAACAAAAACAATCGAAAACAACATTCATATATTATTAATTCACACTAAAATACATAATTATAGACATATTTTGGCGCGAAATATTAATATATACACTTAAACATATATAACATTCTTATTATGTTAATATTATGCAGACATATTTCAATATCAGGATATTAATGAACACGTCACAAAGCTTTCAAGAATTCAAACCCGTCAGAGTGTATGCACGTTAAAGCGGGGGAGTCGTCACCTGCGCATGCGTAATATGGCCATAGCGTGTCATTGTTTACAAACAAGCACCTTTGCGTTTTTAGCGTGTGTTGTTATCATCGCTTGGGACTCAATTCCCGCGCGTGCGCAGGTGACGAGCCTCCCGCTTTAACTAACTACATGTCGTCAGGCCTGTAGTGACACGACTGAATAAACGTTTTTCTTTATGTTTTCTTCGACGTGTCTTGATACCTGTCGATGTATTGGTCTTTTGTTTTCATGAGCTTATCTTTTTAAATTATACAGGTGATGGCATATATCTGTTTTATAAATGCCGTAGTGCTCCGTGTCGTGTTTGATGTGGGTTCCCATGATAATGCGAAACGACATTTAAAAACGTTCTGCAAAGTCAGTATGGCTTCAACCCAATCCAAATCTTACAATTGGCCACGATGTTTTATAACAAATCATACCATCATCAGCAATTCGATGTTTTCTGTCTTTTCTTTTTAGGACTTCGTAAAGACTGTGAGGACCGCCGGCTTTTTGATTCTGCAACTGTCAGTGAGCCGTGGATCATCGACCCAGACTTGGACGGACCCGTGGAACCGTTCCCGGTTTACTGTGATATATTGGAATTTCCGGGCATTGGAGTTACCGTGAGTATAACATATACTTCAAACGTGAAATTTATTTTTAATTTTCGCCCGCAGTGATTCGGAACTGAGGTGAGTCTACTAGCGTAGAACATCATTTAAAAGCGTTAGTGAATGGCTTCGATTCGCTATCGAATTGGAAGCCGAATTAATCGCTAAAATGCCGACGCGCTGAACGTTTAGTGGATATTTTTAACGATTCACATACATTCAAGAAATCGTCTACTGTAAAAAGATTAATTATTCACTGGGTTTTAATTTTTCTTATTTCGCTGACTGGAAAATGCGCTCAATTAAAACCCAGTGAATATGTAAAATTTAGCATAGAACACATTATCTAAATGATAAAACCCAAATTGAAACCCAGTAAAAATTAGTCATTTTACAGTATTTTACATAATAATGTCAAGCTCCCGATAATGCATGATCAATGATTTCAGCGTGAAATTTCAATATATGGCCGCCGAGATCTCGATGAAACAAGAGAATAACGAGACGGTTTTGCGTCTCAAATAGTACTTCATACACCCCCGTCATCGAGTCCACTGTTCCAAATAATGTCGTATCATTGGCCACGGGTACAGTAGACTCTCACTACCAACAAAATCTCGGCCGCCATTTGCTACTAAGTATAGCTAACACATTCCGGAAGTATTTATGTTTACAAATTTCAAATATTAATTTCAATTAGTTTGATAAAAATTATCTTTAATGTTATCTTTTAATATTATTAACTATTTAAAAGCCAAAAATTGGCCAATACTTACGTCAAAATCTTTTGAATTAACTAATACATTGCTTCGTATTATTAGCTCATATACTGAAAAACATATTGGTGAACAGTTTTTTTGCAAATCTTTTTAATATTGACCTATGCCGATTTCAATAAAAACAAATGATTTTGCCATGCAGTTCATATCCGAATTTTAAACAAATCCTAATAAGTTTTTGATATTTTGACAGATTGTTCACCATCATGATGAAGGACCCAATGATTTGGGTGATGCTGAGGGCGCTATTACGGTCGACTATTATCATGCCTCTCCAGCTCAGCTGGAGGCGCTCACCAATAATACACAATACTGTACGCAATCAATGTGGTTCACGTGCGTAGACGCCATCTTGGAATTGGCTGCCCCCAACGGCTGGTACGACAGAAACGGTGTTCATATGGTATACTGGGCTGGCAATACATGTTAGTATTCTGTTTTTTTTTACAATCTTGTAGATATTGTTGATTGATGGACATTTTTCCTTTTTTTGCGGCGCAACATTCTTACAGTACGTTTGTCCTATCTACTTTTATGTGGAGAAAGTTGGTGTCTCCGTATAATGTCTGCGTTCATAATTTGCTGTTGTAATTTGAATTCTGTGTTTAATGTTTCTACACAGACGGTGTCGGTTGCGTAAATGGAGAATGCCAGTGCTCTGTGCTCGATGGACAGCAACATACCGATGGCGGCGTCCTACTAGACGGTGCCACTCTGCCAGTGAGCCAAGTCATCTTCCCAGACGCTGTTAGTGGTTCGACTAGGATTTTGGATATCGGGCCATTGACTTGTTTTGGTAAGTCTGTATAAGTCGTGGTGTTTGCTACGACGGGTCGTGTTCGATACTAGAGGGTCGACAAGGGGTATTTTCGTAAGCTGTAATCAATTCTTCTTATTTTCGTAATAATGTAATTTAAATAAATAAAAAAATGTAAATTCGTAGACATGGACAAGTTATAAAATGTAATCAGCTATTTTATTCGTCCATAATTTGTACAAAGATCTTATTTTTTGTAAGCGTATAAAGCATTTTCAACATTAAATGTCGTAATTCATACGCAAATTATCAAATATATTATAAAACTGTAACTAGGAATTTGCTTTATTTGTAAAGTGTAAAAACCCATTTTTCATTTTATTTACTGTAAAATCGTAAACTGCATTTTTGATTTTCTGTAACCTGTACCAGCTACCCCCTTGCCCTCTTCATGCTAGTCTCACGCGATGTACACAAGGCATGTAAAATGTCTTGTTCGTCGAATTGCAGTTGTCACTTTCATTTAATTTGTGCAGAATACTGCAACATTTGAAACTATGGAAACAAATCCGTCTTTCTGAAGGCACAAGCATTCTTTTAATTAGATGAAGACATTGACAAAAACAACTACATACGCAGGTTGTATATGTTTGAAGATATAGAGTAAATCTACACTCAGAACCAGTAGCTGTACACGTTTGACGAGGAAATCAATTTATTTTTCTAAATATCGTTTCCTTACAGGGTTATTCCGCAATTGTCACGAAATACTCTTGGCTGAGGCAAACACAAACCCCAATAACGACAACACCTATGCCGTTGATCCTGATCTGGCTGGCGGGGTTGAGCCGTTCAGCGTACACTGTGATTTCACAAGTCACGTTGGGATTGGCATTTCGAAGGTGGGTAAGAGATTGATTTCACCAACTGTGCAGAGCAAGACGGTCTTGCTGGTCAGAAAACATGAAATGATCTTTCCTGTTAAGTGCAGTAGTCAGAATTTGTTTTCTAAGACAGTCCGCGCATCTCTTCGACGTAACTAGAAGGTCTCGACACAATAAGAAATTCTATTGACGCCTATGTTATGTTCTTCTTTGATCCTTTGATTCAATGTGTACAATATCCCTTCCCCCTTTACCTTATTCTCTTGCAAACGCTTAGATAAGTAACTGAGGTATATGGTAAAAAAATCAATTATTGGTTTATACGCCCCTTGTACAGGAGATGCACTTTCTATAGAGTAAGTGTGGAAGTACGATCTACTATTACAATATTATCACACCAGACTGTAATAACACGTCTCATGCCATGCATTACTTCGCCAGGTGTGGGAGACGAGCGAGACTGCCATCGATGTTTCTCCTGAGACCGATGTACCGATCACGTATCTTAATGCCGACTACGAGCAAATGCACGAGCTGGTTGTCTCATCGCAATTCTGCTTCCAGGTCAGTCAGCTTTCCGTACAATACAAATATGACACCCATATTCTGCGTAGTTAATAATAGATATTGTTATTATACATCTGTCATCGTAACGCCATAGGTTACAGCGTGCCGTAATTATTGCGGTATTTCATGGGGTATTTTCATTCTACCATATAAGGGAATGCGTATTCCAAATATGGAACGATTACGCGCGTAAGCGTCCTCTAATAATAAAAACAAACATGGCTGCCACCAGGGTTTGACTCGGACTCCACACAAAGAAGTTCGCTGATTCTGTTCTAAACTTTTTGGATTTCGGC